TTAATCTCAGGGTACTTTATAATGGAGTCTTTTTTTTCACTTTCTCTACAACAGTTTCATTTTAGTAATATGAGGGGTTTTTAAGCTCAAGGGAATATATCAGAAAGTAGGGCCTAAGTGAACCAAAATAACTTTTCTTCTAAGTTATTCCCAAAAGTTTTCTTTTTTAATAATGACCAAAAGCTGTCATTCCTGAAGAAGTTTTAGTGTGGGGGTTTTGGTCTGTTTTGGTGGCTTTTGTTTTGTTGGTTTTTGTTTTTTTTGTTTGCTTGGGGTTATTTTGTGAAACACTGATCTAGAATGCTAAACCTTTTCAAAGTCTCTCGATAGACTTTAAGCCAAATCAAATATCATCTCTCTGTCTCATATCTCCAATTTTGACTGGACCGGATACCATCCGTTCACCCTCCCAGGTCTGAAGATGGCACGGGTGATAGAGTTTTTGATATGCTGATCTGGCAGAAAGTAGACCATGTATTCATCTGCAATCACCAAATTGTAAACTGGGAAATTTTTGATTTGTAATCAAAATTGTAATATCCTGTTGATACTACAGATCTGAATCCCTACACTCTAAAACTCACCTTTCTACTTGAAAATAGATTCAAATCTAGCTTAAGTGTGGACTACAAGCTAAGTTGTTTCCTGGATTTTTATGTTATACTTTAGCATGGCATTCCAGACCTGCTTAAACTGCAAGGATGCCTTTAATTCTGAAGGTCTGTGAATGATTTTATCTTGTCTTAGCTGTGATGGGTCAGTAGGGCCAAAAGAAACAAAACAGAGAAATTCTGTGCATGATTTAAGGAAAGGATCCTTGAAGACCCACCAGGAGCTGATGGAAATCTGATGTGTAAGAGGCAGCTGAATTTTCTGTTGTTTCTCAGAGGTGATTTAAAGAGAGAATCCCCCAGAGTAAACCCATGGTGGTTTAGAAATGGTTCCGTTTGACAGCATGGGTGCATGCTGTGACTGAATTGTCTCAGTTTTCATTACCATGCCAGGCACAGATACAGCACAGATGCAGTGGCCTTTCTCAAGGATGAGAGCTATTTTTAGTAAGGGAAATGAGAATATCCAAACAGACAGATGTTTATTTTAGTGTTCCGTGCATCATAACTGCAGAAAAATCTTATTGAAGAATCTTCTTGTTTCTCTAAGATCCACATCTTCGTTCAGCTATATTTAAGGCAACGCGAAGGGGGCTGTTATTTTAGTCCCTTGGGATTTATCTGCAAAAAACACAGCAGCTTGTGCTGGCTTTCATCCAGCTTTGCTGCTGGCAAAACATGTCTCTTCAATCTCTTTGTACTCTCAGTTACATGACCAAAATCCTGTTTGACCAGTTTTTCAAACTGGTGTTCAAAGTCTGTCCTTCCCTCTCACCACCTTTTCTCTAAGAACTGTTTAAGGTTTCGTGGAAGCAAATATATAGAGCAGCTTATTTGATTCTTCTTCTCTCTGTTCTGTTTTTAATCTTGGTGTGGAATTATTGAACATATTCCTTCGAATATGGAATGACTCATAAGAGCTTTGCTGGAGAGACTGCTCAGGTGGAATAAGCAATAAAGGTGGAGGGTGATGCTAATAGACTGGTTCTTGCCAAAGTCAAAATGAGGGCTGGTTGCAAGATGCAACCAGGTAATTAACAGTGTGTAACTGCTGTGAAAGGAGCAGATGAGCAGGGCAGACAGGGTGTGTGAGTTTGGTGGGGGCAGTGTTAAGGTGGGGCAGCTTTGCCTGCTGAAGTGGGGGCGTGCTTGGAGGGCAGCATGAAGGTAAATGACAGCAGTAAATAGCTGAGATGGTTTTTATTGGTGGAGTGAAGGAGATGGGGATTGAATTTTGAAATAACAGAGTTGTGGATGGGTTGTTCGACATGTGAGACAGGAAAACGTAATGTAAATCTGGTGCTGGTCTTAACTTGTCCTTAGCTTGCTACATTAGGGTGGATGCCAGTTCAAGGCTGTCTTTTGAAATGCTGCCTGAAATCTGTGGTGCAAGAAAGGAGGCTGAAGATGGCTTTTCCTGGGCAATGCTGAATTGCTTAACTGATGTGGCTTGTTGTTCTGAACAATGTGACTTTACAAACACATCTGCTCTAGCTGCTTTAACACGTTTGACACGTGTTAGGTGTATCTATTGCCTGAAAGTCTTGAGGGTCCAATGCAATCTACAGCAGCAAGAGCTGGTCCACAGCTATGCCTTTCATACACAACCTTTGCAGAATTAGGAGACAACTCCTGTGGATGAAAGAAGCTACTTCAGGCTAATCTCAAATATCTGCCATTCCTCTGCGGCTATTTTGCCCCGTGCTCTGATCCTAGGTGAATCTTCCCATTCACTCTGCTACCCCCTCCTCTCCTCAGTTTACCCATGCCATAGTTAAGCTGGTTTGGATAACGAAACTTATGTCTCCTAATTCTTCTTTCCAGCATCTTTTCGCCCTCTTCTAGAGCAGTTCACTCCAAAGTCTGAAAAAGGCTGTTTTTAAAATAGAAGTTTCTAAATAAGCTCCCAGCAAGGCCTGACAACTTTGTGGCAGTTTATCTAAGGCATTTTAGGCTGCTGATATCTGGTAAGAAAAGTAGAGAATTGTTTTGACATGTTAATAGTTCCATTGGAAAGGAGTTTGCAGTGTTGAATGTTCTCACTGACATTTAATAAATACGCAGTGCAAATACTTATGCTTGGTAAAAATAAAAACAAATGCTGATCCTTGGGAATTCTTTAAACCTTAGTACACTTGGAATTCTGGGCTTATCAGTGTCCTTATGCAATATTTTACTATTCTGGCAACTTCTCAGTCCTGGCTTCTGAAAATATCTGTGTTGTCTTTTCAGCTGTAGGTTGTGTGGGAGAAAAAGTGAATATTTCAGTGCAGCAGTCTTGATTTTCACTAATTTTACTTACATCATTTGACCTGAGCATTTCCTCCCTCGTACAAACATTTTTCTCCTTTTGTTTTCTAACTTGAAGTCTTTTTGATCTACAGTTCTTATGTCTTATCTCCTGTAAGCAGGAGGCTGCTTACATTTGCTGCTTTCTTCAAGCTGTGTGGGTTGGATTTCTTCTTGTATCTGATTGAAATAGCTCTCTAACTGTGCTCTCTGTATCGGCTTTTGAGCATCTTCAGTAACACAGGGTACAAAGTTGAAGGTTTGGGGAGTGTTTTATTGCTGTTCATCAGTAAGACTGCTTCTTTTCGGCAAGAATCCCTGTGCACCGTCTGGAGGCTGATTCCTATCACCATTTCCAATCCATTTTTACAAATTTTTGCTCTTTACTGTGCCCATTAGTTAAAAAAGAAACTAATAAGTTGGTGCATTTAGTAAGAAGGCAATTCTCCTCATGTGTGTTATTGTGGTAAGAGTATTTGTTGTTGGTCTGTGACTGTGGCCATCCACAGCTACTTTTTCGAAGTGGTTCCTCTGTACTCCACTGGAATTTTCCTCTTTTTCTCATGTTTACACACCAACTGAGGTATTTTGAGCACTCTCAGATCTCATTTTTCTGACTTTAAATCATCTTTGAACAATAACTGGCTTTAAAGCTTCAGGTTCTTCAAGATTTCAACTTGTGGTAGGAACACAACCTCTACTAGCATTTGGGAAAAACAGGCTTTGTGAACCTGCAAGTTTGGGTTGGTTGAGTACCCACTACTGCAGGATTCTGAACTCAAAATAGTAGTGGAACTCTGGTCAGCTGCCCAAGCCTAGAAAGGGGCCTGGATTCATTTGAGCAGTTATTTTGAAATAAAGCCTGGGTAATCATGCCTCTCCTCCTCCTAAATCATGTTCAATACACAGATTTTCCTTTGTGGAGCCTTACCTTTGGGCTGCAGGTGCTGCAACACTTGTTCACACTGTGAGTTCTGTCATCATCTTTCCTGAGCAGAGACTAATGGTGTAAAGTGCCACATGTGTTATGATAAAACAAACCAATTCTCTTTTCTCCCCATACACGGGTTAAAAAACAGCACAAAGATACTGTCTGACTCTCAAGTCAACTTGTAATTTGCTTTTGGGGTTGGTTGTTTTGGAGTTATAAGCTGTTGCTGAGAGCAGTGGGTGGCTACTGCATCATGATTGTAATTATTGCTTTGTTTGTGAGGTGATGCTTTCCTGGGAGGGAGTAGCATCAAGAAGGAAACTTAGACTAATTAGATTTGTCCCCTTGAAAGTTAGTTAACAAGCTACTGCTTACTGATATGACATATGTAGGTACTATAATATGCTAGTTGACTTATTAGGAGCTAGGAATTTAACACTGGTGTAGAGTAATAAAAAGCTAGAAACTGTTATCTAAGGATGGAAAATAATGTTGAACAAGACACCTGGAGACCTTTCCTCCTGAGAATTAATCTGTTGGGGGCTAGCCATCTTAGAGCTGGGAATAATTTTTTTTTTAATCTAGTATTTGTAACACTTTATCTCTACCACAAACTTTATTAGCTTGGACTTGGCTTGATTATAGTTTAACTTCTGAAGGTATTAGATCACTGTTTGCTTGGCTTTTCTTAATATATTACTTTTGAAATATTAGTAAATCCTGATGGATATTTCTCTTTGTTTTTGAAGTTAAAAAAAATATTGAGACATAATCAAAGGTGCTATGGGTGAAGAAAGGCATTGCAAAAACAATTTTGTGATTTATCTTCAAAGTTCTTTCAAATATTTAATAACTGAAATCATAGTTAATCCAGATTTTGTACATTACCAGTATAATATGATCACTTTTCATATGAACTCATAGTTCTGCCATATCTTCATAATTAATCTTTTTACTATATTCTAGGTGTTCTTGTTTTCTATTCCACAAATGCATACAGTTTATTTGCTTACTTTTATCAGGAGCCTATGTCTGTTTTCTGCCATGTTTTTTCAAAACTTTTATAAAATGTTGAATTACTTTATCTCCTTAAAACAAAAGTGCTGAAGTAATGGCAAGTGCATGAAATTATCAGTCAGTACAATCAAATTTTTCACTTTATTTTCCAGTTTAGTCAGCTGGTATCCAGTGATTTGAAAGTACTTGGAAGGAGCTCTTACACCCTCTGCAGTGATGGCCAGTTACTCATTCGACAAGTTCTCCACCCGGAAACATCCAAGAAGGTACAAGAGCAGAATTGGTGCAGAGAGGCAGTGCTGGGAGGGGAGTGATACAATCCCACCCTGGAAACTAGAGTGTCCCAACTGAAGATGATCCCCTCCCTGCCTGAGCCCTGAGTAGCTGAGTAGTTATTTTAGGCACTTGCTCTTGAAAGTCAGCCACACTAACTACTTGGACTCCCAGATGGGCATAAGGAAGAGGAAAATTAGGAAAAACAGGATAGATACAGAAGCAATACAAGAACTTTGAGTTCTGTGTGTGGAGTGGAAACAGAGGTACAGATCAGCTCTCTGCAGATGTGATGGAGAGCTGTTGCTTTGCTTAGGCTTGTGTTAAACCAGCGTCCTGTGGAGGGTAAGCACACAGATGGTGATGTGGCCTGGCACTGGTGCCCCATCTGCATTTATTCAGTGGGAAGCAGAGCTGCCGCTTATTTCCTACCCCCACATGAAGCAGTAGTTTCTGCTCCAAGTTCCTGGAGAGTTTAGAGCACCCTGTCAAACGCAGGAAGGAGAACGTTGCCTTTGTGCAAGGTGGTGGCTCTTGAGTTTGCTGACTTAGCAGGGTCTGCAGGAACCCCACAAGAATAAGAGCTGCTGACATGGAAGGACCTGGCCAGTTGTAGGGTTCTTTTCTGGAAGGTGCTGAAAGAGATTTTGTATTCTGTGACAATATTTATTTAAAACTCATCATCATGGTTTGGTACAAATCTGCTTTTCAGTGCTAGCCACAAAAGATAAAATAGTGTCCAAAATGGGAATTGAACAGCAAAACTTAGATATTTTTAATTTTTTTTTCCTAGCCATCCTCTCCAGCTGTTTTTGCATGGGTCTGACTCCCAGAGGCTATTTGACTTTGTTCATGTAGAGATCCAGATCTCTAGAGTTATGGAATTTGAACTGTGTTACAAAGGAACCAAACTGCTCCATCACCAACAAGCTGGTGATGTGGAACTACATGATTTCTGAGAGTGCCTCTTTCACTCCAAAAGTATTAATTGAAATTTAAAGGGATAGTATGTACAAAACAAACATTTTTGCCTTCCTTGCAGAACTTCTTGTTGTCGGACTGCTTCTATACCTTTTATGATCTGCGCAAAGAGTTCCACACATGCTACCCTAGTTCAGCCTCCGTGAAAGATCAGACTATCAAAACCATGGCAGAATGTATCCTTTTGCTGCAGCTTATATACCACAATCAGTTAAGACTCCTTGAGTTTTATCTCTGTGATTGTAATAGAGTTTAGAAGAATAAAACTAGATGTGGGTTTTAAAACTCATTGATAGTTTTAGGTAAAGTGAAAGGAATGCCTGCTTAAGTGTGTGTTGGGAGAGTGGCTCTGCTCATAATTTTTTTTTCCCTAAATTGAACCTATTTATTGATTTCTAAACCGTATTTAGTAAATCTGCCAAAGAAAAGCATCACTTGCATCGGTGCTTGATCTTAAAGGAAAAACTGTACTGTCAGTGGGCCTTTTCAGCACCTGCAGGTTTCCACTGTTTGAAGATAGTAGTTATCTTGCATGATCCTGACTGAGTTCAAAAACAAAGCAAAACCAAAACCCAAATAATACTCTACATCTAAATTCAAATTAGAAGGATTGTTGTGGCCCATCTGAATCAGATTAAAGTTCAGTTAGGTTTTAAGTGATAGGAACTTATTCAGCTTTTTCTTTTTCAGACTGTAAACACTGAAATTATGTAAGCTTTTAATACTTTTCAAACTGTTGTCTGTTAAAGTGAATATAAACCAGTTTATGAGCAGAGTAACATAAACTAATGTGTCTGATAGCCACATGTCCCCACTAAGCCCAGTAAATTTGATTATTAGTTTTATGTTAATATAAGAAAGCCTTATGACTCGTTTACAAAGGATTGTGCAAGTCTGTTATTTTCTATAATCACCTGTTTAGATCTAGGCTTAGCGACAGATGAAGCAGAGGAGGACTTTGGCGTGTGGCAAGTGAAGACCATGGTGGCTATAATTTTCAGCATGCTCTCAGAAGGTTGTAGTAAGTTAACTATTTATACTCAAAGCTGAAATCCTTCTTTTCTAAAAGAATTGGAAGTGGTGCTGTCGTTCTTAAGTAATCTCTGACCCTGGCTATATTTAAACTTCCTGTTTTGTCACAGATCACGTATTTACTGAGCCTGAAACTGTGAAATACAAGTATGAAACAGGTCCTTGGTAAGTGCCCTTGTCACAGCTGTTTACAAGCAAAGATGACTCTTGTGTTACAGCAAGGAAAGCTTGTGAATATTTCCCCATGGTCATGTGCAAGCAGGCTGGCTCCTGAGTACAGCACAGTGCATTCAGCAGTCACTCCCTTGCAGACAGACTGTGGCTGGCATGCTGAATGCTGTACTTTAGTCCAACTCTTTAAAGTCATTGCAAGTTAAATGCTCTTTGTTCTCTTGCTTCTGTTTTGCATGGCATCGAGGCTGGCTTATCTTACCCAGGGTGAAGAAATATTTGTGAACTTTCCCTAAGTCAACAGGGCTGATGGCCAGTGCACCCTGCATGAGCTGAGCTGTGTGGTGCTTCCTAAAGTGGTTTTCCATGCTGAATTGGGTGTCAGGTTTAGGGAGGAAGAAACAGGATGGCTCGTTCTTTACAAATGCATTTCAGTGACCAGACTGAAATATTTTAGGCATAAGTAATTTGTGTTGCTTGGATTGCTGGATCTTTCAAATAAAATTAATTCAGTTCCTCATTACTTTACATTGAGGCAGTTTTCTTATTCTTATTTAAGGAACTGCAATGTGGTGACAACATTGTGCATCTTCAGTGTTGTAGATATGAAGGAATTATCCAAGTTATCTTCCCTTTCTTTATTTAATTGAATAATGGAGATAGGAGAGTCTCAACAGAAAATATACTCCCAATTTACAATTCAATTAGTTGCAATCTGAAGTTTGGTAAAATATTGGAAAACACGGATTAAAGGATTAAAGCTTACTTTGTCTTGTTTTTTTCTTTCTGTGCAGTAGTAAATCTGAAACTGTGGACAGTGAGACAGTAATACGTGCCAGAGGTTTGCCATGGCAGTCTTCAGACCAGGATATCGCTCGATTTTTCAAAGGACTCAACATTGCCAAGTAAGATAAGGAGAATTTGCCTTGCTTTATCACTTTGTCTCTAATAGCAAGTTACTTTAGTATTTGTTTAACACACATGCCCCACTCTCCCCACTGGAGTCCTTCAATCTTTCCCCACTTGATCCCTTCCCATGCTGTGGCCATGACAGCTAAACAGGTTTACCAGCCTTAGGTGTGCAAGAAAAAGTTTTGAAATGTGTGAAGCAGTAAAGAGACTTATCAATTGAAAACAAATACACATTCATTTATTGGTAGTATCTTAAGGGAGAAACTCCTATTCCATTAATCAAAGCAGAGGCCAAGACATGAAAAAGCTTTAGTTTTGTGCCAACTTATTATTCTTCTATACCTCCTAAACAGGCCACATTCAGAAACTTCCAAGTACTGTTTGGAATAAATTTTCATGTGACTCATGTGTATACCTGTGTATAGATTTATGTGTATACATATATATGAAGAGAGTGAGTTTATTTAACATACTTGTCACTTAATACACGTTCCAGATCTCCAACACTGAAAAAATATAATTTTTTATTTAGAGTGATGAGGAAATTCAAATGTGCATCTCTGAGATGATAGGAAGGACAAATTTACATCTTTAAGGGAGTTGAGAATGTGATGAACATGAGATCCATGATCTCGATGAAGCAGATTTTAAAGCATAATTTCGTGACAACAAAGATTAAATTGTGGATAGCAATTCATTTTTCAATCTGTAATCTTCATGTTAAAGTCTGATTCCTTTGCTATTCTTACACAATTATTTATTAAATGTATTAAAGATTCAGACTAAGCTTATATTTGTTGGTTTTATCTTCCAGAGGTGGTGTGGCTCTTTGTCTGAATTCTCAAGGAAGAAGAAATGGGGAGGCTTTGGTTCGGTTTGTCAATTCTGAACAGAGAGACCTTGCCCTGGAAAGGCATAAGCATCACATGGGTAGCAGATACATTGAGGTAAGAAGCTGTGACTTGAAACAGATCTTTGGAGAGAAATCTGAATATTTTAGACTATGTTTTCATTTAAAACCAAATTGTGCTTCTGTTTTGCTCAAAGAACCAAAATTCTCTCTCTTGTGAAAGAGTGTGTATGTGGTTTAAAGCTGAACATTGTGATTTTCATGTAAGGTTTTTTTGTTCTTTCTTTTCAGGTTTACAAAGCCACTGGGGAAGAATTCTTAAAAATTGCAGGAGGTAAGTGATGCTGGAGTTCAATGTGATTGCTCAAGTTCATAGGAATGTTGTTCTAGTTCTTTTTTTTTTCTTTCCTTGACTGAGGATACAAATGGATAATGAAGTAGCTTTTCCTGTTTTACCTTCCAAGAATATTTGACCCTGTCAAGTTCTGTTTTCACATGGTTGAAACTGAGCTGTGAGCATTTGATCTGTGATGTTCACAGACAGGTCTTGGGAGAAAGAGCAGCCTTTGCAGTGGAAGCAGTCATGTATCTTGTATCAATTCACACTAATCTCACCTTTGTTCCAATTTAATTAAAATATTAAACACTTGCAGATTAAGAGGTTTTCACCTCAAAATAGATTGCTGAGAGTTAGTATGGATCTTGGGTTTGTTGCTGGCTACTCATCTCCTGTATTCTTCCTTAACATTTCACTGCTGCAGAATCCTCTGGTATTGAGTGCCCAGCACTGACCATATGTTCTTGGCTGACCATGTGCTGTTATCTCTCTACCAGGCACCTCCAATGAAGTGGCCCAGTTCTTATCTAAGGAGAATCAAGTTATCATCCGGATGAGAGGCCTTCCATTCACTGCTACTCAGGAAGATGTCTTGGGCTTCCTGGGGCCGGAGTGCCCAGTCACTGGAGGGAAAGAGGGACTTCTCTTTGTCAAATACCCAGATGGCAGGCCCACAGGAGATGCATTTGTGTTATTTTCCTGTGAAGAATATGCACAGAATGCACTTAAAAAGCACAAAGAAATACTTGGAAAACGTTACATTGAACTCTTCAGGAGCACAGCAGCAGAGGTCCAACAGGTTGTAGCTATTGGTTGTGAGACTCAAAACTGAACAGTTGAAATATTTCTTCTAACCCTTGCCCATATATATGTTGTAGACAACCATGAACATTTATTATATAAAAAATGTCGAGAAAGGCCAATACATGGTTCCTAATGGGCATGGAAAATTGTGCAGCACTGGTTTTGCTTTGTTTGTTGATTTGGGGGGATTTGGGGGGATTGTTTTAGGTTTTTTTTTTAAGCTGCCGCTGTTTGAGTGGTTTTTTTAACCATCCCTCGGACCATAAAGTAAAAATCAGTGCATAATTTTTTTCTCCTCACTGAAATCTCAAAAATAATTCTAAAAATATAGTAGGTTGATAGCACTGTAAAAATCCCTCTTGAAAATCTTGTATTGTCTTGAAATGCTAGTCTCCATGTACAGAATTTCTAATATTGAATCCAAATCTGGATGCATGAAATGAGCAACTTTATTCCTGACACAGAATATTTCTAGACTGGTGGCTCCTGAGGGAACCACTATTAGATTTGGTCTGGTCTTTGCATAACCACTGGCTATAAAAATGTAATACATTACATTGTATTACTGTGCAACCTATGTGACAGGTGAAATCTTTCTGTAGAAGGGATTGGGCAAAGGAAAGAATATGCACACTTGTAGACCCATTGCTACTACTGTGATATGGATATTCCCACAGCCAAGAATATATGTGCTGTGAAGACTGGAAATGGCATTTCCCCCTCCCCTACAACTTCCCTCCTGAGAGAGAATGAAGCAAAATCCTCTAAGGAGCAAGATCACTCTGACTCAGTGACCAAGTCTCTGCTTCCACTCTTTTTAGGTAGACCTGGATATAACTTATATTCTACCAATTTGTCATTACTTCTTCCTCTGTGACAGCTGTCTAGGCCAACACCTGAACTTTTTTGCTGTTTGGGCAAGAGATTATTTCTTATGAAATTACAGGCTGCTTTTTTGAGTAATTACAAGAAGTCAGCTCTCCTCTACTTAGTATTAGTACAAAGTAATTGCAATGTTCTCTACACAACTAAGAGAGATTTCTGGCCTGAAATGCATTACAAGAAGATTCTTGAAACAAACCCCCTAAGCTGAATCACTTTTAACAAAACTAAAGCTTTGCGACCTATTTTTTTGGTACTTCTTTCATGTGTTTATTTGTGATAATCATCACTAAAAATGTTTTTCAGCACTAAGTGCCAA